CACAATCAACAATATCCAAATGTCCAGTTAAAACATAATAATTTTCAAAATACGAACTTCATATACATATTTGGTTGGGAGATTATTAGCATCGATATACCACCATGTTTTTAGCACGGAGTCCGATCATGCCTGATTGTCTAGGCCATCTCTCCATGAACAATGTGGATTGACATGTGATGCGAAAAAGAAAAGTGTTACCAGGAGTAGGAACCACCATGCACGCGATATGGCATCTGATCTCCACCTGAGCGGCTAGGCCGTCTTCCCACATATGCAGTGTGGGTCAACTTCATCACTTCCAACCCAAGGCTAATTATCAGTATCATCCCAATTAAAGGGAATAATCTCAAAATATCAATCTCATCCCAATTAAGGGGAATAATCACAACCCACTCCTACACCGACACTTGTAATTTCGGGTGTGGGCTGTTTCGACCCACCCTTCATCGGTTCACTAATGATACTCCTAAAAATATTTTGTTTTGCATAAAAAGGAAATAAAAATACAAGCGCATTCACCTCATAATCTTTCACACTGTATATTGTTTCATTAGTACTTTCAACCACTATAACATTATTATTTCATTGGCTCTCTTGGCCATACATATGATTCTTCATTCATGGCACAGTGGCCGTATCTCATATTCCTCACTTTCATTTCTTTAATCTCAAGAAGCATCATCGTAAACATAAACATATAGAATATTCCGGAAATCATGACTTTAAATTCATTAGTAATGAAGGCTTTAAACACAACAGATTCCTTTTCCAAAGAATTGAGCAAAATAACTAGCAATTAAAGCACAAGTTAAAAATCATAAACGAGTGATACACCACTTATTCTTGAATACTTCTTCCCTAAAAGGGCCATATATAATTCCAACTCATTAGTATGTAAGAATCCAAATCACATCGAAAATATTTGTAAAGGAGAGCATGGTGATTTACGATGAAAACATTCAATCAAATGCACTAGTTACAACAACCAACATATTTTATATCTCACTCTTACTTCTTTCACTTTCAATATAGTTATATTTTACCAACAATAAGTGCATTTGGAAATTAAAGTTTGATATATATGAACAATAAGAGTCTTAAGCGCATTAAGTTTTCTTCCACAACTTGGCATAATAACTTGCAATGAAAACAAGATTGAAATCATAATATTTCGACATAGTGGTCACATTTGAATACATTCTCGAAGGAGAACACTATATGATAGGAGCATTCGGCACACATTTCTAGTATATATCTTTCGACACAAGCTTATTCAGAATAGTCAAATTTGTAATGGATAACTCAAAACATGGAAATTAGGAATTTGGCCAAGCATACTTGAAACTTATGGGAACATCATGGAATTTGATTCTAAGAGAGAAGTTTAGTCAACATACCTTGCTTGCGCTTTTCTTAAGTTGCTACAATATCCCAACACTTATAGCAATATCAATCTATAGTAAGATAACAAAATTCGGATAATAATTCAAAGGATTCTCATGGTGTGACTCTTTTAGAAATTTTATCAAATGCCAATTATGCAAAATCAACTATAAAGCTCTACAATGGTAATCCCTTCCTTCCTCAACCAATTTCAACAAGAAACTACTCGAAATAGTTCAGTAATATCATATATTACCACCTATTGTCACATGCAAGGCCTATCTCCAACTCCATAACCTACTTAAACCCATAACAATTGCATGAAGGTTTTAAGACAAGGTCTCACCCCGATAGATAATGGCCTAGTGAGTGATTCCTTGAATCTTCAAGGTTGGCAAGGATGGATGATTAAAATGGCTAGGTCTTCTCCCTCTCTCTCCAAGATACTCTCACTTCTCACTAAAACATCAAATATTTGCTACAAAATGAGTCCCAAAGGCTTTTAATCAAAATGGGATGGGGTTATAAAAATATATAGTTATACCCTCCGAACTCAACTCTGCGGTCGCAGAATGGACTACAGAACAGATATGCAGCCCGCAAAATGGACCGCGAAAGTGATGCCAAAAACTAGGCTAGCGTAGACCAGTCCACGACCAGGTCTACGGTCCGTAGACCAATTCTATTGCCACGAAATGGACTGTAGAATCTCTCTGAAATTCTTCATGCCAAATCTGTTATTGAAGTGCGGACCGCGAAACAGGTATGCGATCGCATAATGGACCGCAAAATAATCTTCAAAAATTCAACTCTTTTTCTGCTCAACTCCGCGATGATTATTCGATCCGCGGAATAGATTTGCGGTTGCGAAATTGATCGTAGAATTGCATTCATCTGCCAAAAATTTCTACCACTCCTTAGTGCATTCGTCAACCCAAAAAGTCCGTACCATAGCGAGCTTGCGAGCCGCGAAAATTAACTACTACCTTCTAACATATTAGCCTACCTCGACACCACAAAATCTTAAATTTCTAACCGGAAATTTACGGGGCCTTACACTCGTGTACTCATTAACACTAGATTTTAGGGTTGGCTGTAGTAGTATTTTTGTTTTATTTCTCATATACTTTATGATATTTTTTCGATGTTGAGTTATTGAATCATAATTATTCGATTTCATTGTTATTATGTGATTGTTGGCTTATCTAGCGGGTTGGGATTAGGTGTCATCACGACTATTAGATTTTGAGTCGTGACAGTAGGAAAACTTCGCCTTCTTTCTCTTTCTAGTTCCTTTTAAGAGAAATGAACCTTTTCTCTCTTTCTCCTCAAGAGAAATATTAGTTGTTTTACTTCACAAGATAGTAAATTTTGAAAAAATCATTAAAACTTGAAATTGACGAAAATCATTTTATGCCTACTTTAATTTAGTTTAAACATTAATAATTGAGTTTATATTCTATGTATGGATTATAAAAAAAATCATACTATTAGATTAAATTGAATCTACAACAACAGGTAATTGACATCAAACTCGATAATTGATATTGTAACTGAAAAATAAAATAATAACTTACTATAACAGATTAAATTTTAATTATAATATAAATATTTACAAATATGGGGTTTAAATTCTAAAACTTTTGATGAACTGAGTTTGATCTATTCATAATTTTGGTAACAGATTTACAAGAAATCAAACAATAACAACAACCTAATATAATCCCACTTAATGAGATCTTGAGAGGGTAGTGTATATGCAGATCTTACCCCCACCCTAGAGTAGAGAACCTGTTTCCAATAGACCCTTGACATCCTTCCTTCCAAGAACTTTTCACTTTGCTCTTGGAAGACTCGTACTCACAATCTCTTATTTCCAAAATTGTGATTTACAAGAAATTCCAATTTTGGAAAGGAAAAAAAAAAAGAAAAGGAAAACGCGGTTTTGGGGGCAGAGTTATAGGGCAGAGCGTGGTCTCACATCCATCAAGCAAGCGCGTGAAAGCTGTAATATGCCAAAAAATCGTGCGCCCCCGCGCCTTTGAGTCAACAGTCAATAACACGAATGCTCCTTATAATCTACTCCGTTAGTATTTTGAAGCTTTCAACCATATTGAATCTTCTCCTTGTGTCCATGTTGCTATAATCTCAATAATAATCATATAATATAATATAATATAATATAATATAATATATATTTAGAGAGAGAAAACAATAGAATGATGGAGGAAAAGAAGAGAAGAGAGAGATAATAGGGGAGGAGACGAGCAGAGCACGCATCCTTATGGGACTTTGACAACAAAAGATCAACCTAAACTTTTGCAATTCGGACATTATCTGTCTTCATACATAAGCCTTCCCACCTTCTTATTTACTTCATCAACAATCATATCCATTTAGTTGTACGCACGCATAATACCCATTTCAAGAATTCTCAAGTAGGTGGGTGGGTGGGTTGGGTCTGTTATTTTCTGGGAATTTTGTTGAGACAATCAAATTAAGATGATGACAATGGAAGGGATGATGGAGAGAGGAGTATTGGAAGATATAATAAGAAGGCTATTGGAAGGGAAGGGAGGGAAACAGGTTCAGCTTTCTGAGTCTGAGATCCGCCAGCTTTGTGTCAACGCTCGCCAGATTTTCCTCTCTCAACCCAATCTTCTCCAACTTCGTGCCCCCGTCAGGATTTGTGGTACCTCCCTTTTCTTTCCCCCCTTGTGTAAATGGAGAATTGAATAGCTTTATTGATGATAAACATTGTTCAGCCTCTAATAATTTGTGGTACCTCCCTTTTCTTTGTCTCAGCGATTTTTTTAATCTAAACATGTTGCTTTATTTGTCCAAAAAAAGAAAAAAACAGAGAAAGTTTGATTCTTTTGTTCTTTGTTGGTTAAGAAAAAGATCTCCTTTTTTTGCCTCCTGATTTCTGTCGGTGGAAATTGAGGATTCTGCTAAAGCTGAACTTGGTAGTTAGATTTTGGTTTGCCAATGTTTGTTTCCATGTGCAAAAATCTGGGGGTGATCAGATGGATGTAGCCTGAGAATTAGAGCAAGAGGTGCTCTCCTGCTTTTGAATGGGATGACCAGTCTCATTTTCTGCAAGAAATCAGGGGCATATTTACATTAGATTTGTCAACATGAGCACATGCGAAATTCCAAAATTTGTTTAGCTAACATAGCAATAGTAAACAACAACAACAACGACGACCCGGTGAAATCCCACCGGTGAGGTCTGAGGAGGGTAGAGTACGCAGACCTTACCCCTACCCCGAAGGGTAGAGAGGCTGATTCTGAAAGACCCTCGGCTCAAGAACATAGCAATAGTAAAGAATTCTTTGTTATTCTAAAACCTAAGTTTGAAGTATGCAGAGAGTTTTTTCATTTACTTTTGCCAGGTAATTCGTGGTAAAATGGATGCGTTTTAGATGCTAACTGATGGACATGGATTGCAAATTTGAATGTCCGTGCAATGTGTGATTGTCTCATTTGTTTGCTGTGCCTTTTGAGGCTCTTTATGATTCCTTAGCTATCAGATTTCTTTAGTGATATTTATGCTTTTAGAGAGCACTTTTGTTGTTGAAACTTGAAACTACCTTGATTCCAAAGTGGTCATGATAGTTGACTGCATTTGCTGCGTAATATCTCATACGTTTATTTTTTCCCGGTGCCATTCTTGCAGGTGACATACACGGGCAATACCAAGATCTTTTAAGACTTTTTGAGTATGGTGGCTATCCTCCTGCTGCACACTACCTTTTTCTTGGGGATTATGTAGATCGAGGCAAACAGAGTTTGGAAACAATATGTTTGCTACTGGCTTACAAAATAAGGTACCCCGATAAGATCTTCCTTCTTAGGGGAAACCATGAAGACGCAAAAATCAACAGGGTATATGGATTTTACGATGAGTGTAAAAGGAGATTCAATGTCCGGCTCTGGAAGATATTCACGGACTGCTTTAATTGTTTGCCTGTTGCTGCACTTATAGATGAAAAGATCCTTTGCATGCATGGTGGTCTTTCTCCGGAGCTAAAAAATTTGGATCAAATAAATGAAATTCAGCGGCCAGCTGAGATTCCAGATAGCGGCTTGCTCTGTGATCTGTTATGGTCTGATCCTGACTCTAGAATTAAGGGATGGTCAGAAAGTGATCGAGGTGTTTCATGTACTTTTGGACCTGACGTAGTTGCCGAATTTTTGGCAAAGAATGACTTAGACCTCATCTGTCGAGGCCATCAGGTATACCATATTCAATACAACAACAACATACCCAGTATTATCCCACACCGTGGGGATATACCATATTCAATAACATAAAAAATAAAAAAATTATGTTAAAATTTAAATATGAAAATGTTCTTGAGGTAAGTACCATCTCCTACTTTAGCGTTCCATTCCAAAAAGAGAAACTTAGATATTTTAGGATCAGTTAAGTGTTTTTCCAGGAATTTCTTTTGTCTGTTGTGAAGCACATTAATGATTAAACCATGTCTCAAATTTTTCATCGCAGTGTTGATATAATATGTTGCTCATTTCCAGATAGTATATTATCATTTCTGATTCATCGACTCCAAAAGAACCATTATTGAGATTTTCACTTGCACATTACTGGTTCAAAAGTATTGTGATTCAAAATTTATCCTCTAACCCTCTAACATGTTTACATAAATCCACTAGATATTTGGCTTTCAGCCCAAAAATGGCCCGTTTGCTTAGATCTGTTGTGTTAAAAAGTTATAGATAAAATGATTTTTATGAATGAGAGATTGAGAGAGAGTATTCTTGTAATAGTTTCTATCTGTAGACTGTAGTAGTAAATGTCATTCCTCTTCTCGCATATTTTCCCTCGTACACTATGATGATTTTCCACGTCAAAGGCTTGTCCTCTTTTCTTTCTAGTTGTCTCTATTTTTGACTTTGTTGTGTGCATGCTTTGACAAGCAATTTTTTTTCCTTTGAAGATATTCTGGATGATCTTTGTTATCGGTGCCCTTAAATTTGAAAAATGATACTCTTCAAGTCTTATATTTGATGAAAGCCGGATTCTTATACTAAACTTTTGTTTTAGGTGGTGGAGGATGGATATGAATTCTTTGCTAAGCGAAGACTTGTGACAATATTTTCTGCTCCCAACTATGGCGGGGAATTTGACAATGCAGGTGCTTTATTGAGTGTCGATGAGCAACTAGTATGTTCTTTTGAAATATTAAAACCGGCGTTACCTAGCAGTTCAAAGTTACCTCTTAAGAAGGTATGATGGTAAACCTTTAGATTTTCCTCATTTGCCTACTATATTACTCATGATTTTGACGTGCAAGAGTGGCTTGTATGTTCTTTTTCCCTCCTCCAAAGCCTTCCTAGTCTATTTTCTCTTGAAGATTCTACAAAATAACTTCATTGATTGCTATTTTTGTTGATTTTGGTAGCCACCGAAGGTCTGAGCGATTTGATTCATTAGAAAGTGTAGATGAAGATTTATCCAGTAAATAGTCAAGCCTGCCAAGCATTATTCTTGATTCCTTTGTTCGTGGGCGAGCTTTTCATGTCCAAGGCTATCCTACTCAGCCATTCTAAAAGCGGATGTGGATTTGAAGCTTGCATACAGATCAGGAGAATCTGCAAACTGCAACATAAGATATTTTCTGATGATCCCGAGACACTTCAGTTGGTAACTTTAGACATTTTTTGTTTACTGCTTGTATTGACTAGCATTCAGAATTTGACATTGCTGATTGGGAATGAGTAACATTAGTGTCTGTTAGGCTACAAGTTCTGTAAGATTATAAGCTTTATTTTGATGATAATATAACCATTTTGTGGCTGCAATGACAACTTTTTGGCGGATGGTGAGCGTTGTTTTGTTATCAGGTCAGCCAGTGAACATTCCACTCTCCTGCCAACCCTACTGCTTCAGTTAACGGGCAGGGAGGACTGGATTGGTTCGGGCCATACACTGAGCTGTTACTTGAGCTCACCGGGCTTATCTCTTATGTTCTTTGGATCCAACTCCTGATATGCACCAATTTTTGACCAAAATTCATCAGCTTTCCTTTAAAACTAATAATATAGAGATGACGTGAAAATAGCATGGGTTAGTCAGTTTTCGGATTGGTCATTGAAAAATAGTCAGTATTTGCAAAGTCATTGAAAAATAGCTACTACTATTTTGCCGCAACACGAAAATTCCAGCATAATATACTGGAGATTAGCGCATCTGTGTATGAACTTCCAGCATATTATGTTGGAACTCCAACATACGGAAAGTTCCAACATAATATACTAGAGATTAGAGTACCTGAGTATGAACTTCCAACATATTATGCTGGACCAGTATATTATACTGAAACTCCAGTATATTATGCTGAAATATTTTTTGAATTTTGAACAGTATTTTCGTTCAGATTTATCTTTACGTGAAAAGTGATTAAATCTCGATTACTTTTGAAATTGTGACTATTTTTCAATTACCACTTGTAAATTTGGCTACTTTTGAATTTAACCCAGAGATGACTCATGTTAGACGGTCGTTTTTAAGCACATTTAGAAACATATCACGCATACAAATAATTGGTATTTCTTTTTCTCTGTCTTTGTTCAATTAGGCAGTACCCAGATAATTAGATGGTACTCACATTAACTATTTCTCTAGGTACCTTCATCTTTCTCAACCACAAGTACGAGGCAATTTTGTCTACCAAGGTGTAGACACGCGAAGAATGACTTTTTTTTTTTTGCCTCCGTCTGATTTGAACCTTTTCTTCTATGATACTAATTCTAACTTCATTGATCCACTTGGGCCACCTCTGGGCGTAAATATTTTGTTTCGTATGGTAGAAATAAAAATATTAAAACATATGCAGTATGGCATGGTTACTCTATCAAAACTTGTTGTTCGGTCAGGCAGACGTAAATCCCTCTATTCTTCCTCCATATGAAGTTCCATACGCAAAGCCAAGTGTAAGTGAGCATCATAACTCAAATCATTCTCTTTTACTCAATCATCTAATACTTAGCAGTCATATGCAGTTTTCATGGCCGTCCCATCAAGCTATTCAAGTTGTCGTGCACTTAGAAATACTATCTAAAAAATTCACGCAACTGAATTAATCTTGTTAGGTGTTTGTCCAGATTTTCTTACCATAATTGATTTTTCTGTCTCATGAAGGAAAGGACAATATATTTACCATAATTGAATTTTTCTTTTCTTAGAAGGAATATATAATTCTTCCATATTTGGCTAGTCCCTTTTCCTGTAGGAAAAGGTTTGGAGTTCTATAAATTGAAGATCCGTCCTTCTCATTCAGTAGCATCCACAATGTAGCCATATGGGGGTTGAGAGTCGTGTTTAGAGGGAGAACTTTATGGGACAAGTGTTAGTGTGTCACTTGTGTTTGCCTCTTCGTGAGGTTGTTCTCTCGATATTTTGTACTCTCTTTTATTATAGCGGATTGCTCATCTCCGCCCGTGGATGTAGGTCAGATGACTGAACCACGTTATATGTTTGTGTCTCTTTTGGTAGATTTCTCTTTTTATCATCGCTAAAAGTTTGTGTTATTAGCTTCCGCATGACACCTGATTTTTTCGGTCCTAACAAGTGGTATTAGAGCGAGGTTCAAGACAGGTTCATCTTGGCGGGTTTAGTTCTAGCCACAACATATTTGACGATAATCGTAATTTTTGTTTGAGAAATTTAACCGGTGTGCTACGCATGTTGAGACAAACTTTGTGATAGAGATTTGGAAATACGACCCTGTTGAAGGCTATGCGAAGAAGGTGGATCAAGTTTATTTATTCAGAAAATTAAGGCCAATGGGGAGAATTATTAGGTGTTTGTCCAGATTTTCTTATCATAATTGGTTTGAGGACAATATATTTACCATAATTGGGTTTTTCTTTTCCTAGAAGGAAAATATAATTCTTCGATATTTGGCTAGTCACTTTTCTTGTAGGAAAAGGTTTGGAGTTCTATAAATTTAAGATCCGTCCCTCTCATTCAGTAGCATCCACAATGTAGCCATATGGGGTTTGAGAGTCGTGTTTAGGGGGAGAACTTTACGGGACAATTGTTAGTGTGTCACTTGTGTTTGCCTCTTCATGAGGTTGTTCTCTCGATATTTTGTACTCTCTTTTATTATAGTGGATTGCTCATCTCCGCCCGTGGATGTAGGTCAGTTGACCGAACCACGTTATATGTTTGTGTCTTTTTTGGTAGATTTCTCTTTTGTTGTCTGATTTATCATCGCTAAAGGTTTGCATTATTAGCTTCCGCATGACACCTGATTTTTTCGGTCCTAACAAATCTTCAGCTAAACTTTCAGCTTCCAAAAGCTTATCTTGTCGTCTCTTCCGCTGCTACATGCAGGAGGTCTTCGTGTTAATGTCTCATGGAATCCCAACTTCAGTGTTTGATGCAAAATTTAGATCTAGGTTTAAACAATTAGATTTTCTTAACAAATACGGTTAATCTTAGCCAACAATAATATCCACTAGATTATTTAACCAGTGTCGTGGAGGAATGTGGTAACAATGATGAATATATAATAATACACAAAATTCAATGGCGTAAATACAAAATAAATAGCATTAAATAGCAATAAATGGTGTATAATGGTATTTATGTAAATAAATGTAACATAGATGACAGAAAAAAGGGGATGAAATCGTGTAATATTTCTTCTGACAATGAAAAACAATTGACGAATCTTTGAATATTCGGATTCTCCTTTGATCGTGGGAGAAAAGCTCGACATAAATTTCAAGAAAAATGTGTCTTTTGTATGTATATAAAACAAGAATCTCTAAAGAATATCAAAGTATTTTTTTATAAAATGAGTGTCCAATCCCCTCCTATAACTCTCCTTCTATTCATAAGGGGATGGGTGCCATAAAATCCAAATAGTGCAGATTCAGAGAATATCTAATAGAATATTATCTTTAAAGTCTTATCCCTAAAACTAGCTGTTATAGCTCCATTTAAGATGAATGCTTGTCCTCGACCTCGGTCTTTGTTGACTCCTCGACCTTACCTTCGTCATTTGTCGAACTCATGTTGGTATTGCGTGGTAACCTCTGAGCGTTCTCCTAATGTCGACTTGGCTTTAACCTAACAAGGGTAATTTTGGCCCATACAATTATTTCCTCTGCTTGATGAGGTATTCGCGGGCGAGTTCAATGAGCGGATAATGTTGTTCATGGTCGGGGATTGTTGCTGCCTGTTGAGCCTACAACATTTCGAAGATCACCCGCAAGCTGATATCGCCATCTTCACCGCCACGTGCGCTCGGAGTGGCTGATTGAGCATCCCCGCGGATGCTGCCTTTGGGATTGACGACCAAATTACCGTTGATGGCTACATGTGAACTGACGTCGATTGGATCTACAACCAGGATTCCATCGAGGCCAACCAGGGGTACATCGTTCCCTGGTGCTATGTTATCATTTTCGCCCTGTTGGCCGAAATTATTGTCAATATGTTGGGGTGCTAATTGAGAGTTCGATATTTTTTATCCCTTTAATAAAAAATACTTCAAAGAACAAGTGTAAAATTATGTGTGTCACGAAAGTTTGTACCAGGTAATCACTATTATCCTTATCCCCACGGTGGATGCCAAACTGTTTACCCTAAAATCAGATAACAATTGAATTTATACGCGGTTTTAAGGATACGTAATATAACTTGGTACAAATTAAGAAGAATAAATTAGTATTGAAATTGAGGATAAAATAGTAAACGTAAACCACATAAATTGAATAGCCTTGGCCCTCGAGTTTAGTCACCCTTGAACCAAAAGATGTTTCAACTGGCTTATGAGCAGAATAACAATAAAATGAAAGCTAGAAAATGACAGTACATTGCTTTGTATTGCGTGAATATGATGTCCTTTACAAATGATCAAACCCCCTTTATACAGTAGGAGAGTCTTACTCTTGATACAATTCTATATGAGGTAAGAAATCTCATGATTAGCTAATTAATCGACCTCTTTTTGATACGTGTCGGGATTTTCGTCGTGATCCCCACCCGATTGCGGATATTTCGGCTTTTCGTTATTTGGCTCGGTAAGTTTTCCTTGATCTCGCTCGATCTTTATCTTGCTCGGTCTCGATCTCGATCGATCTCGATCTTAGTCGGTATTTGGATTACGAGCTCGACAACCTAACTTTGCATCATGGTTCGATATAACACGAGGCTGAACCTTGACCTATCATGTTCCGGTCTCAATTAGTCATACAAAAAGGCACACCCAATTTTGACCGTATACAATTAGGCGCTTGACACTTTCGTTCGTATGAATTAGAAAAGTTTTCTCAGAAAGAAATGTTTTTTTCTAGTTAAGAGTAAATTTTAGTTTCCAAAAATCAAAACAGAATGTATACTGAAAACCCAATGCAATGAAAGATTAGGTCTTCACGATATCATGACCGATGGTTTCCAAAAGCATTTTCAAAAACGACAATTCATGACGACGATTCCAAAATTGTTTTCCAAAAAAATATCTACTTTCTCAATAATAAACCAAAAGTGACTGTTTGGCGAAGATTCTAAAGTCTGCCTAGTTTGAAATGATTTCTTTTTAAATGAAGTTTCAAACGGAATACTTCGGAAGAGTGACACTTTGCGCTCTTCGTCGGACCATTTGAGAAATGCCTCTGTTAATATTAGAGAAACAGTCTGTACCCTCAAATTTGGATAACAATTAAACTTATAATGTGGTTTTAAGGATATGTGATTTTATCTAATACCAATTGATAAACGTAAAGATAAATGATACAAATTGACAATGATACAAAGCAAACCAGCGTTTGAATAGAGCCCTCGAGCTCGGACACCCTCGAGCTAGTTA